GCGCAGCAAAGAGTAGATTTCCAGGGTAGGGTAGTAGCAGGTGGAACAGAGAAGCTGCTACAGCTCTGGTAATGTCCTGGGGGAAAAGAGGAGGCTGAAATGTAGTATTACTACATAACTTTCATGGATTCATTTTAGGAAAGTTAGAAAATACAGATAAAAAACACAAGTATAAAATATAAGAAAATAAAATCACCTGTAAATGCTTTAAACATTTTATTTGCCCAGTTAAATGTTTTTCTGTGTGTGTGTAAGTAAAATTTAATGTTCAAATAAAATGACTAAATGTTTATTAATTTAAATCTTTTTATCTCCTTATCTCATACATGGAATCATATTTTTAGCAGTTCTTTTTTATGGGAAAATATACATAACAAAAAAGTCTACCATTTTTACCATTTTTAAGTGTACAGGTCAGTGGCATTAAGTACATCCACATTGCTGTGTAAACATCACCAATATCCATCTGCATAACTTTTCCAGGTTCCCAAACTGAAACTCTGTACCAATTTAACATTAACTCCCCATTCCCTCCTCCCCCAGCCCCTGGCAACCACCAATTCTTCTTTCTCTCTCTATAAATTTGATTATTCTAGGTACCTCATGTAAATGGAATCATACAATATTTGTCTTTTTGTGACTGGCTTTTTTAACTTAGTGTAGTAGATTCAAGGTTTATCCACATTGTAGCATCAGAATTTTATTTCTAAGGCTGAATAATGTATATATATTCTCCACATTTTGATTATATCCATTCATGCATTGATAGACATTTGGGTTGTTTTCACCTTTTGGCCATTGTAAATGCTGCTATGAATATTGGTGTACAAATATTTGCTTGAGTCCCTGCTTTCAATTTATTTGGGTATATACCCAGTAGTGGAATTGATGGTAGCAGATCCTTTCTTAAATCAGTGATCCACCCCCTTTTTTTTCTAGGGGTTTAATATGATGCTAATTGTTTTTGTGGTTGAGCTACGTGGAAACCGCTATTCCTTCTTGCATTTACATGTCCCAACCGGGGGTAAGTTTTTTTTATATTCTTGGTGCACAGCCACTAGAAATTTCTTTAGAGAAGGCTGTTGGTGGTAAACTCAGTTTTCATTTATTTAAAAACGTGTTTTTACAAATCCTTTACTTTTGAAGAAAATAACTCTTCTGTGTATATGATTCTTTGTTTACAGATTTTTCCCATTTTTTAAAACACTTTGAATCATTCCAATGTCTTCTGGTTTCCACTCTGGCTGTCAAGAAGTGTGTTGCCGGTTTAGTTGTGTTCCTTTGTAGAAGATCTATGTTTTCTCTCTAGCCTTTGAGATTGTTTCTTTGTCATGGTTGTTCTACAGTTTCACTAAAATGTATCTAGATGTGGATTTCTTTATATTTATCCTTCTTGGTATAAATAGTGCTGCCTATATTTGTGATATAGTGCTTGCCTTTCATCAATTTTTGAAAACTCTCAGCCACTTTCTCATCAAATATTGCTTTGCTCCCATTTTTTTTTTCTCTTCTCTCCTCATGGGAATCCAATTTGCTCATCGTTAGACCTCCTCAGTCTTGGCCTCTTACTTCTTCTATCTGCTTATCTCTCTTTGCTGCATTCTGGGGAATTTCTTCAGATCTGTTCTAGCACACTATTTCTCTCTTCAGCTACATCTTCTGTTTGACCAAGCATTGCAATTTTTATTTTAATGGTTATATACAAATTTTTATTTTTTTGTTACTCTATTTTTTCCCTAATTCTATCTGGGCACTTTTTTATTTTAATAATCTCTTATGCCTTATTCATTTTTTTCTACTCTATCTCTTATTCTTTAAATATTTCATGATAGTTTCTTTAGATTCTTCATCTGATTATTCCCAGTTCTGAAATTCTTAAAGATCTAAACCTGCTGATTATTGTTCCTACTGGTTCTCCCTTGTAGTGATTTGAATCTTTATATATTTAGTAATTTTTTTTGTGAGTTTATATTCGGCTGCATTTAATCCAGAAGCCTGGATTGAGGACTCAGTTTGCTTCTGCTGGACTCCAGGGGGGCATTAATAATCTGGGGCCACTTAAATTTTTCAGCTTATGGTTTATTCGATCAAAGGGAAAGAGAGCAGATCTCACATGGAAACTAACATTTTTATTAATTTTAACATCTAGCGCTACAGTCAAACAGGTTTTCTTGTAGGTTTCCTCTGCAAGCAAGTAGACTTTTTTCTTTCCACTAAGATAAACTGCCTCTTTCATGGTCCAAGCTTTTTGGGGATAGGGATGTCTCAGGTTTAACTCTTCAATCTTCCTAGACCCTAGGGCTTACACTGTGGTTTTCCCTTAATCTCCCATACCCCTCTCCAGTCCTCAAAGCTCTAGGTTTCTAGTTAGTTGGCTTATCTGTTTACTCACTATTTACCTTTTATTTTGTATTGTTTTATTTTGTTGATTTCAGGGGATACCCTTGGGAGATTACCTTTATTTTGAGGGAGCTCACTAAGGAACTTTTAACATATGTTTTTGTTATGTTTTATATAGCATTTAAGTATTCTGCTATGGGAGGATTTTTAGAAAGCCTCTTCTGAAAGAGAATTTTTAAAACAAACAAAAATGTGATTATGTGGTACATACGAGTTGTTTTATAACCTGCTTTTGTTCCATTTGCTATACGATCAACACCTGACATATAAATAAATATAGGTCAAGAGCATCATTTTAATGGCTGCATAGTCTTCCATTGAGTAATTCATTCAGTCTTTTTATTATTGGATATTTAGGGTTCTATTTTTCACTATTTTAAACAACATTTCAGTGAATATCCTTATAACTAAATTTTTGTATACACCATGATCTTCTTCCTTCTTTAACTGTTTATACAAGTAATATACACAAATATAAAATATTCAAACACTATGGAAAATGAAAATTCTCCATAATCCTTTTTGCCATCACCTTAATTGACACCATTTGGTATTTGATTGTAATCTCGTAATCAAACAACAGGTGAGAGTTAGTCAGGGCTAGACTATGCAAGAGGAAAGACCACACCCTCCGCCCCCCTCAGCAGAGAACTGAAGGGGTGACAGACACCCAAGTAGATGCCAAAAGCCAGGGATAGCTGGAGTCAGGGGCACCAGGCCTCAGAAAAGTCCAGAGCTTCAAAATGTAGGAAATCAACTTTGCCTTGCCAGGGCCAGCCTAACAGAAACAGAGGGTCTTCTCAGGCACTCACTCCAGATGCTCATCCCTGCCTCCCCTGCTTCTAAAGGGGTTTGGTTTATTTTGAGTCAAAAAGCAGTATAGGCTCTGACATTATCCCCAACCCTGTGCTTTATAGTGGCTTACCCCTGATTCTCTGGATCTTGTCTCAATCTAAAGAAATCCAACCATAGAAACACCCCTCTAACTCCTTTCAAACGGAGCCCAGATGTTCAGCCCAGAGTCTCCTACCAAAGGATTATCATGAAAGGAATGGCTGACATCTTCGATGGCTCTTAGCTCCTGATTAGACTTTTTTTTGAGAACCTGCTGCACTTGCCTTTATAGTTTGTGAGGTTACCACCACATCTCTGTAACAAAGTCTACTTCCCATGGATTCGGTCAACCGTGCTGGTGAGAGCCCCTAAACCATAAAGAAGCCCAACCTCTTCTTTTCTCCCAAGACTATAGAGCTCCAGCAGGGATGATCAGCGCCTTAAGGAAGCCCCAAAAGTTGTGGTTGTTCATTTATTAATTTAATTCAATAAATATTTATGGATGCCTACCATGTACTGGCTTTTAAACAGAATACAGTCAAAGAGTTCCCTAAATAGCTCCAAAATAGCACGTATGGACTCCACCAGAATTCACGAGCTGGATTCTGGAGTTCCCAGCAGCTCTAAGAACCACAATTAACTGCTGGCCACTTATTCTCCAACGGGCAGAGCCCATGGACCACTGGACAGAATGAAAAGTGCATACCAAGAAGAGCACCTTCCAGTGAGAGCTGGCACACGACCCCATGAAGGACTGAGTGCCCAGAGCTGGCTGTATCTAGTTCCCGCAACCTCTAGCCATGGTCAGACCTTGCATGGGTAAAATAACTTTTGTCTGCCCTAAATCCGTCAGGTTCCCTAAGCTTCTGAGTTCTAAAAGGCCCTTGTCCAGAGCATATGCTTGTGGGGAATATGTATTAACCAAGGAATTTGCATTGAGGAATTGGCATAAGGGGAAAGGACAAGGAGGACCTGAGGTGTTTCCACTGCAGTGTACACCACCATGTTAGCAACTCCCTGGCTGGGCCGTTCATCTTGCGGACCACAGTGTCCTGGGAGTAGGTTTTGGCCTTGACAGCAGACAAGTCACTACCAATGCCAGGGGCTTGCCTCAGCGAGAGCAGCTGTCAGGAACCGGGCAGGAGTATAGACAGGGACCCTTCATCATACTGTTGGAAGCGTCACACCTTCCTCAGCCACCTTCACCACTAGATGAGTGGTATAGCCCTGAAGCCTATGTGAAAATAGGAAAGTTTGATGAGGTAATAAGAAAGCCATGCTCTGAAGTCAGTTCCACACTGGCTTGAGCAAGGTATACTATCAGTGCTTCCATTTCCTCACCCATAAAGAAGTAATAAAAGCAGTACCTATGCCCTTAGGGTTGATGTGAGAATTATATAAGCTCACATATGTACCTGGCACATGGCAAGCTTTACAGAAATATTAGCTATAATCTTAGGGCAGTTGTGGGAGAGCTGATCCCCAGGCCCATGAAATCCTCCTCAGCACCATCCCAGTCCTAGCCCAGGCCTGGCAAGTAGTAGAGCTGGGAATCCTGTAGGAAAAGGCAGAGACACAGGCTGTAAGAGTTGATTGTGGGTTCCTGGAAGGTGGGGACTTCTTCCGTGACATCCTAAATGCCCAGTGACACCTAACCCAGCTGTTGGCATGCAGCAGGTGCTTAAAGGAAATGCTAGTTAGAAAAGATAAGTACTGAGCTTCCGTTCTGCCCACCCCCCCACACCCCCGCCCCTTTGGGGCGGGACTGTAGAGGCGGCTGTTCGAGAAGGAAGTTGGTCAGTCACGGTAGTGAGAGACAGGGAAGCAAAATCGGTACCGTGGCCTAGAGATTGACCTTTCTCCTCGCCCCCAACCCTCTTGGCCACAAACTCCAATCAGAAAACTCACTCCATCCGTGTGGACTCACACACCTTCCAGCCTGATGTCTAGCAGCGAGTTATGGTGAGTAGAGAATGGGACACACAGGATGCCCCTCTGACTCGCTCAGGGACAGCCTCGTGCCCTGCCAAGGCTGGGGAACAGTGGGTCCCACAGGGGAAGCTGTGGATTATAGGGACCCTGCTGAGTCACAGGGGTCACGGTGGAGAACAGCACAGCCTTGGGGCCCTGGCCAGCTAGTGATTGAGGCCCCTTCTCCCAGGCAGACTGGTGCCCTAGCTCCCCTGCTGTCCGTCGAGGATTTAACGAACCTGAAGTACATTGGTGAAGGTGGGTTCGGCACGGTGTTCCGGGCGGAACACAGGACGTGGTGTATCCCTGTGGCAGTAAAGATCGTGAACTCGTGAGTGCCCCAGCTGCAGGCAGGCCACTCTGCTGCAGGTCCTACATGGGGAAGGGAGGGATCTGCCTAGCAGCAAAGCGTGACTCCAACTCTCTCCCGGAGTATAGGAAGGAGATATCCAGGGAGGTGAAGGTCATGGCAAGTCTGCGTAACCAGCACGTGCTGCCCCTGCTGGGGGTCATTGAGAAGCTGGAGTGGGACAACTTGTCTGGGCCGGCTCTGGTGACTTCATTCATGGTGAACGGTTCCCTGGCGGGGCTGCTGCAGCCCCAGTGCCCTCGGCCCTGGTGCTTCCTCTGCCGCCTGTTGCAGGAGTTGGTGCTCGGGATGTGTTACCTGCACAGCCTGAACCCCGTGCTTCTGCATCGGGACCTGAAGCCCTCCAACGTTCTGCTGGACGAAGACCTGCGCATCAAGGTCAGCCCATCCACACCCCAGCCCCACCCACTGGACACAGCACCTGAGGCAGCCCTGTCTACTGAATACCCTCAGCATTTCCCTTTGCACACAGGGCTACCCAAATGTCAAGGCCCACCCAGCAGCTTTAGCCCCTGCCATACCAAGGGATAGAGGCCCTGACAGACACAGTCACTTCTACAGTCTCACCCCACTAGGCCCTCCAAAGACCCATGGCTGACAGCCCAGGAGACTCAGCCCTTAACCCAGTCCTATGGAGAGGGGACCCAGGCCTCCAAACCAAGGACCTCCTTGGTCCTACTATTCCCCTAACCCTCCACACCCTCTTTATAAAGCTAGACCTACACCTTCTCGGGGAGAGAAGGGGATTCTGGAAACTGCCTGGCCCTGTCTACCCCCTTCCTCCTCCTTCTTCCCTCCCTTTGCAGCTGGCAGATTTTGGCCTGTCCACATTTCTGGGAGGTTCAAAGTCAAGAGCAGAATCTGGGATGTCAGGGGGCACCCTAGCCTACTTAGCCCCAGAACTGTTGGCTGATGTAAACCGGAAGGCCTCTAAGGCCAGTGATGTCTACAGGTAAGGTACCCATGCCAAATACACATCCCAATTTCTACACCTCTCTGGGCCCTTCTAGGGGGAGGTATATGGGAGAGGAGTCTTGCCAGCAGTTGAGCCAGGCCTCAGTTTTGTGTCTCTTGCAGCTTTGGGATCCTAATGTGGGAAGTGCTAACTGGAAAAGAAGCTGAGAGTAAGTCTTTAAGCAGACTCGGGGATCCTTAACCCCAAGTGCCCTCCTCCTGAAAGTCCCCAAACCCTCTTCTTACTGCTTACCTGCTCAGGCTGTCCTATTCCCTCCTCACCTTCCCTTGGACTACACTCCCTGCCCCTTTCCATGATGGAGCAGATGGCCCCTCATACCCCGAAAGCTTTCTCTTCACGTCTCCCACGCCCACCCCAGTAGTGCCCCAGACATCGCTGATGCAGAAAGCCGTGGGTGAAAGGCAGAACCGGCCCCAGCTGACTGAGCTGCCCCAGCCCAGCCCTGAGACTCCTGGCTTGGAAGGACTAATGAAGTTAATGCAGCACTGCTGGAGGAATGAGCCCAAGGACAGGCCTTCCTTCCAAGGTGAGAGGGCCATTTAGCTGGCAGCTGGGGCAGGCCTGAATCTGTCAGCAGGGTCTTTCCCTGGGAAAGAAGTTTTGCTCACCTGCCACCCACTCTGCTTTCTCTCCAGAATGCAGAATATTTACTCGGGAAGCCCTCAACCTGGTACAGAATACAGACAAAACTGGTACAAAGATGGATGCTGCAGTCTCCACAGTGAGTGCCCAACACCAACCCCCACACAAAGAGCTGGGCAAAGATAGCACAACATGGCTCCTTTGGCCACCCAGTGACTCCCCAATGACCACTGTTCTTTGTGCCTGGAACCCCGTCCCCACTCTCTCCACCCCACCCCTGAATTCCCAGGCAACAGATTACAAACCAAGAGACTCCTTCCTTGGGTTTACTCTGGCTCTCCCATCTCTACACCTAGCAAGATCCCCCTGTCTTTACAGGTGAAGAAGTTCCTGTCTGAGCACAGGAGGTTTTCTGCCTCTGAGTCAGTCCTAGGAGGGACAGAAATGGATGGCTCTGGGAAAACCCCGGGGAGTCTTAATTCCATGGTCTCTAAGATGCTAGCACTGAATCTGAAAGGGTCCTCCAGCTCTGTTCCTGAAACATGTAGAAACCTTCCTAAGAAGATAGACGCACAAGGAGAAGAGACTCAGCCTGCCCAAACAGCAAGGACGGCTTCTGATTCGACATTCCAACCTCCCCCAACTCTGGGAACCTCACTTTCCAGAAACCAGACTCCCAGCCCCACCTCGGCTTGGACCCCAGGTGCTAGACCCCAAGGGACTCAGGTGAGACTTGGGGATGCAAATCCTGTCCCCTTGCCAGGGAAAACTTGAGGCCAAGGGGATATGCCATGGAAAGAGGCCCCAGGACAGGGAGCCTGAGAGTGCTGTGCTGTTCACAGGGTGCTGAGAGAGGTGGTATCAACGGGCCTTCCAGCACGCCGGGGCCAAATCCAATACCAGGTACCCACTCCCCATTCCTTCCTTTCCTCTGCTCAATTCCTCCACTAGCTTCGTCCTCTAGACCATATATAGATTGAGGGTACCTTGGGGAAGGAGGGAAAGAGAAAAGGGCTAGAAGCCATCTGCTTCAACCTTCTCATTTCATAAATGAAACAACTGACACTCACTGGGATTGGATCCCGCTGAGGTTACAGCAAAGCCTGGATTTGCCCCCTGGGCCTTCTGGCTCCCCAGCACCAGTTCTGTTGTTGCTATGTCCGTCTAGAGGGGCTCCTAGCAGAAAAGACCCAAATATCAGGATCAGAGACATCAGTTGCCACCCCTCTTGAGCCTCTGTGCACCCAGTTCTGAAGGGGCAGCCTGCAGAAGGCCAAAGGCACACCTGACACCTTCAATGGGAGGCCCTTGCATTTCCCCAGAGTGAACATGAGGTGCTCCTGCCCCTCTGGCATGCTGTTCCTCCTGAGTTGCTGATTTAACCCTCCCACCACCACCACTGCTGTTTCTCTTAAAGGGCAGCAGGCTCCTACCATCGTTGGCTGCCAAGGGGTGCAGGTCGGAAACAACAACTCTATGGTAATACAGGGGAAAACTGCTTTTCCCATACGGAACCTGCCACCTGGGCATATGGGTAGGGGCCCACAACATGCCCCCCACGAGTAGCTGTGAAAGAAGTGTGGAAAGAACCGGACTCCTGGACTGGGCCACAGAGCTGGTATAATAATGGCAGGAACTGAGGAAGCGTCTGAGCTGTCCTTAGGACTTGAGGCAGCTAGCCAAGACTTTCTTTGAGGGCCATGAGGCCTGCATCCGAACTGACTTTGTGTCCCAGGAGTCAATAAAATGGAATTTTTACCAGAGCACTGCACAGGAGGCTAAGGCATCAGACAGAAGCGGGAAGGGATGTGGATGGGAGGTTGGGGAGCTGACATCAAGGGAGGGGGAGGCATTGAAGTCTCACTGAGGCCGGAAGCGGGATGCTGAGGACTGGGGGTGGGCAATGTCATGGCACACAAGGTCAGGGCCCAGCCGGTGGCAGGAAGGAATCCCAGAGGCCTGGCTCCTGGGGCCGCTGTAATCTCAGGGCAGAGCATTTCCTCTAGAGCAGGGTGAGACCCTACCCTAAACCCAAACTCCAGGCGTAGATGCTGTGATCCCACTGTCTCCCTTGTCTTCCGGGCTACAGAGACTCGCCAGTGGGGCCTGGGGATGGGGGGTGTCCACAGAAATGTGCACATCCCAACCCATCTTGTGCCCTACACAAGAGACACCCCCCACCCCAGTTTCTCAGAGGTCAGCCCCCATCCTGTCACCCCTCTCCACTACATTCATTCATGTGCACGCTGCTTCTGAGGCAGAAACCCTTTGGTTCTCAGCTCCTGTCTGGGAGTAAAGAGCTATGACTCCACAAAGCTACACAGACATGTCCCCTCCTACGGAGCTAGAGATGGCAGGAGCATGGATAGTTCAGACATGGCCACAGCCCCCGACGTCCAGGTGCCAGGGTAGTGGATTGAGCTCCCGCTCCCACCCTGACCTAGATCCTAGCCCCCATCTGACACCACATTCTTCCCTACGTTCTCACCAGCCTTCGCCCCAGCCCTCCCTCAGTCTCCCCACATCCAAGCGTTCCACCGGTTTTGACACTTGCCACTCGGCGACCTATCCCCACCGCCTCGCATCCCTCCTGTGGGTCTGCAAGCTTCTCTCTTGAGGGGGCTGAAGGGAGAAGGCGGCGATGTTAAGAGAAACAATGGGAGTGGGGGAGGAGGCCTGGGGAGTCCGACTCCGACACGGAAAAGGGCTGGGCTGTTCCACCGGGGAAGTGGGAGGGGGCCGCGGCGCCGGGAGGGAAGCGCCTGTCCTCTGGGACCCTGAGCCACTAGTTTAGTGGCGAACAGTGACTCCGCAACCAGCTCCCTCCCCGGGCCTAGCCCACTCAGCTGCAGCAGCCTCGCAGGTGGTGAGTTGGGGAAAGGGGAGAACCCGGGGCTCCTTTTGCTTCAGTCCCAAATCCTGTCCCCTTGGCGATGAGGCTTTTGTTAGGACACCTCCTCAGTCCAGCTTTGAAGGAGAAGCGGCAGTGCCCTCCCCGCCAATGGGGAGAAGACTGGGAGGCCACAGGGAGTGCCTGTAAGGAAATGGGATTGCCGAGAGGTTGGGGGTGGTGATGGAATTGGCTTGGACCAGCTGAGAAGGACACAGTTGGGGTTGCCTGGGGCCGCGGGCGGTAACCCGCACCCTGGCCCTCCCCAGCTCCGGTGTCCGCTCCCGGGCTGCGCAGCGCGCGGCAGGGGAGACCATGGCCCGCCTCTTCAGCCCCCGGCCGCCGCCCAGCGAAGACCTCTTCTATGAGACCTACTACAGCCTGAGCCAGCAGTACCCGCTGCTGCTACTGTTGCTGGTGATCGTGCTCTGCGCGCTCCTGGCGCTGCTCGCTGTCGCCTGGGCCAGCGGCAGGGTGAGCGGGGCCTCTGGCGTGGGGCGCCTCCTCAAGGGCGGCAGAGGGAGGGTCACGGCCTAGGGGGAATTTTCGGTGCTGGGACTTATGGGGGGTCTTCTTTTCGATGCTTGCTTTCTTTGCTGGGACCCAGGAAAGAAGCGCTGAACCTTGCTAGGAACTATAGTGACCCTGGACAAGTCACTCCACTCTCTGGGCCACAGTCTCTGGGTCTACACTGAGCCCTGGATGCTTCTAATTTCCCAGGATACTGACAGACTTTATGAGCTTCTGTGATCTACTAGTTCTAGAATAAATCCAACACCAGGTTTTCCAATTTTCCAGGGGTAAATTACACTGGGCCCCGTGGGAATCCACTTCCTGGTTTTCTTTCCCTCTTAGGGGCTGTGAGCAGTTGTACCCACAGACTCCCAGAAGGCACCCTCCATCCCGCTCTCATTTAGTCCCCAAATAAATCCATTTCCAGTTTATTTTTTGAGGAGAAAATGGGTCTTCAGTTTCATTTCTGGAAACATCCTGCTCCAAGTTTTCTTTTCACTCTTCGGAGGCAAAGCGGGAAAATCACTGGGCGTGACCAGTCCTTGCAGGTCCACTTCAAATCAGGAAGGGGTGGGACAAAGGGCGGGGACACCGGCGGGACTTCCACGCCCCGAGGCGGGTAGTGAAAGCGCAGCCAGGGCAGAGAGGCAGGTTCCGGACGCCCCCTGCTACCAGAGCACTGCTTCGCGGGACCCCGAAACTCCTATTCGTGTACCGGGGCAGGGAATCTCCCCAGCAAATTGGCCAGATTAGGATGCACTCATTCTTAAGTGCCTTCTGTGAGCTAGGATTTTTCACTTGCTTCCAGACTCCAGGCAGGTGCTATGGTTCCTACTTGACAAATGAGAACATTGAGGCTCAGAAAGGTCACAGATTCACAAATAGACAATATGGGGTTAAACTCAGGTCTGGGTAGATGGCCCACGGCTCAAGTCTCCGCTGCAGCATGCAAGTGAGATATTAGATTGAACCATATGACATTGCTGACTCTGTAGATTAAAAACGGATTATCGGTAATTTCATATGGTTCGTCCTAATATGAATGACCTGCGGAGGTGCCCTGCCTCCTTTTTGTACTTGGGTTTGAGACACTTTTTAGGAATGGCCTGAGGGTCTGCCCCTTCTTCCTCTTCTTGGATGAGTTCCCCCAGATTCCATACCCCAATCTTGCTTTAAAACGCGCCTCACCCACAGGAGCTGGCCTCAGACCCAGGCTTCCTGGCCACGGTGCTGTGTGCGCTGGTCGGCTTCTCGTTGCTGCTGGGCCTGGCTTCTCGCGAGCAGCGACTGCAGCGCTGGACGCGTTTCCTGTCAGGTCTCGTGTGGACAGCGCTGCTTGCGCTAGGCCACGGCTTCCTGTTCACCGGGGGCGTAGTGAGCGCCTGGGACCAGGTGAGAGGGGCAGCAGGTGGCGCAGGCGGGAGGGGAACGCTCGGGCCTCGAACTCGCAACATCACACTAGCAGCAAGCAGTGCAGCAGCGTCAGCCTGCAGCTTTCCGCACCCTCCTCCCCCAGGTGTCTTTTTTCCTCTTTGTCATCTTCACCACGTACGCCATGTTGCCCTTGGGCATGCGGGACGCCGCCGCCGCGGGCTTCGCCTCATCATTCTCACACCTGCTGGTCCTCGGCCTATATCTTGGGCCTCAGCCAGACTCACGGCCCGCGCTGCTGCCGCAGGTGAGCACACACACACACGTAGCACAGGCTGCGCGCCCAGGGCCGGCTCCGCTGGGTTCTACTTGATTCGCCTGGGCATTCACCGACCGTTTGCTGAGCTGTGTGACTGAATGGTAGGGCGCAACGCTGGGCGCAGGGCACAAGCACAAAGACCCACAGATCCCGACTGTACCCTCGTAGAGTGGTACGCCAGTGCAGCTCCATGCCTGCAGACACCAGAAGAGGGCTCTGGGCCCACCGGGAAGGGAGTTCAACAGGAGACCAGGGTGTTAGGGACAGATGTGGATGGTGGAACCCTCACAGAGAAGACAAAAATTGAAGCTTAAGTAGTTTAGTGCGGGGGAGGAGAGGTGGGGGCGAGCGGAAGGGCAGAGAGTGGATGGAGTGGTATTCCAAGCAGGGGATACGTATGTGCTAAGGTTTCTAGACCTAAGAGGCCGTGATGGTGCAGCAGCCAAAGTCTGGAGCAGGGGGAATGGGGGAGGAGAAGCGCCCTCTACGGATCCCACAGTGTGGCACCGATTGCCTCGAAATACTTAGGTCTCTAAGGTAGAGTGTCCTCCCCAGCCTCTTTGGATAACACCTCCAGTTACATACATAGGTACCACACACACACACACACACACACACACACACACACACACACACACCCCAACCTGGGTCTAGCGCCCTCTGAGGCTGACCCTCACCCACAGTTGGCAGCAAATGCGGTATTGTTCCTCTGCGGGAACGTGGCGGGAGTGTACCACAAGGCGCTGATGGAGCGCGCGTTGCGCGCCACCTTCCGAGAGGCTCTGAGTTCCCTGCACTCGCGCAGGCGGCTGGATACAGAGAAGAAGCACCAGGTCCGCGGGCCCTGGGAGGCCGGGCGGGGGTGGGGTGGGGTGGTTGGGGGGGACGGGGTTCCGAAAGAGGGGTTACCTAGATCACACAACCGGGCTTATTCACAAGCTGAATGACTTTGGGCCCGTCACCTGACCTTCTATTTCCTCCCTTGTCAAATGTGGCTGTTGCTCACCTTGGAAGGTTGCTGGGAGACTCAGACTAACTGAAGCTTGTGAAAGCACTTTAGGACGTTATGATACTAGACAAAGGACGCTAATTTCGACATTAGTACTGGGAGCTCAGCCCCTAAAAGTGATCAGCCCAGGAGGGAGTGCTGGAGCCTGGCTGTATGTGGTGGGGCAGACCTGTGGGGAGGGCCCTGGGGAACACCTATTAGGGCTGGAGAAAGGTGTGGGCTCCTGGGGGACTGGGGTTCTTGGGTTTCGGGTACAGGAGGGTTGGTGCTCACAGTGACTTCCCCCAGGAACACCTTCTCTTGTCCATCCTTCCTGCCTACTTGGCCCGAGAGATGAAGGCAGAGATCATGGCACGACTGCAAGCTGGACAGGGGTCACGGCCAGAGAGCACCAACAACTTCCACAGCCTCTATGTCAAGAGGCACCAGGGAGTCAGGTATGGGGAGGGATGGCTGGAAGGGAGGGAGCATGGGCTGAGACCCTGGCCCTGCTGACACGTCTGCTCTGCCTAGTGTGCTGTATGCTGACATCGTGGGCTTCACGC